GAGAGAGAGAGAGAGAGAGAGAGAGAGAGAGAGAGAGAGAGAGAGAGAGAGAGAGAGAGAGAGCAAAGGATCCCTTTCACACATATCAGAGGGCCCCTGCAGGTAATCTGGTCCTCGCAGCAAATTAGCGTAGACCCTCCACCACAATCGAGGCAGGCAATGAGTATGAAGTGGGGTAGGAGCTGACCGAATATATACTCTGGATTCGAACTCAGGTCTGTGTTTCAGCAGTTATGGGTTGCTCACTTAGCTAGGCCCTGTTGGTCTCTGCATGTGATTCTCTGGGCTTGGCTGCACTGCTCACCAAATGTGCAAAATCCGAATGATCTTCTGCCAGAACGTGGAATAATATGCCGTCATATGTTGTGTCTTTGTGCATGCGGTGAGTAGAGGCCCTTAGGGCCACTGCAAGTATTCCTAAGGAAACAAATACGAGAACACAGAGAATTAGTGACCCATAACCGCTGATACACAGACCTGAATTTGAATCCAGAGTTTGTATTCTCGGTACACTCATGGAAAACTGGAAGTCCAACGCGTATCTCTGCTTCACGCTGGGTCCTTGCTAATTCGCTGTAGGGGCCCTTCGGAAAAGACACTGCAGTCACTGGACACAATTAGGACATGCACACCCACACGCACACACATGCACTCACAGTTCTGGGGTACAACGTGGCCCCAACTTTTTTCCCTCTTGCAGTTTTATTTTTAGAAGCGAGGGGCATGTTTGGCCACCCCACCCTGTCCTTTCGGTTTTTTTATTTTGTGATGAGCCGCATCACGTGCTCGTGCCGCAACCCCGCGCACGGCATGCGCCACAAGTAAGGATTATACCCATTGAAGTCCCCATTTCAAGATCCAGATGGTCTGGATATGTCAGGGGTCCAGGTCCAACCCAGTCCAGCTTCCCGCGCATCAAAAGAGGTATGGTGGATGACACAATGCCTGAGAGAAAGAGGAGCAGGATGTGTGTCACATCAAAAATATCAGACAGGTAGAGCATTGGGCTTTTAACCTAATGGTCGCAGGTTCAAATCCTGCTATACCCATAAGGCCACGAAGTGGGGTAGACATGCTTATACTCCTTTCAGGCAACTAACTTGTATACATATTCCAGAAAGAAATGGCTATGGTGAAATTGGTTTACGCACCACACTTAGGATGTGGCGGCGCTTCGCACAACGACAAAGTTGACAGTGATGTCTGAGTGCAGTTTTGGATGGTCTGAGAAACTTCACTCGACAACATTCATTCCAGCATAACGGGCAAGTAACAGCAGAAAAACAAACAAACTTTTTTTTTTTTTTTTTTTTTAATAAAAGGCGACGGCCTTGAGATATTATCATTCAGCTGACCGGCCCCAAGCAATTCATTAGTAGTTGGTTTTACTCGTCACGTTCCATCATCCGGATTCGAACACAGGTCTGTATTTCAAC